ATTGTCTTATTAAGAAAACAAACCTTACAATTTTAAAAGCAATCTGCTATTACTAAATAATTTACACTGTATGGTGAAAAATTAGTAAATAACACTTACAGACATAAGGAATGACTATTATAAGCTATAGATGCTGACAACTTCGAATCAAAACAAGGTGCCACTGTTTTACCCATGTCTACTCATATTCATGTTTACTCATGGCTAGGCTTAAAAACTATGCCTGGATGTTCAATAAGCACCTCTTGAGAGGCGATGACTATATCATGAGATGACTATATCGCGATGTAAAAAAGGATTAATTTCAATTTTTTTTAAACTGAACATGCTCATGACACTGAGCTCTTTGTACCATATTATTTTCATAGGATCTACCTTGTACGTTTTATACGATGGGCCTTAATGCTATATGTGGCTTGAAATGTGTTTTTATCAACATTTCCCTGTTTTGGGTCTTATCCGCTATTGCTATCAGCTTTAGCGGGCACGTTGTAGTAAGAGCGTGACTCATCATGCTTGTCCAAGTCACAATATGGTACATCCCTCGTCATGATCACCTCCAGTCGGTCAATCAGCTCCGAGAAACTGGGACGAGAAGATGGATCCTCCCTCCAACATTCGCACATCAATTCATATCTATTATGGGTGAAGACAGGTTAAAAGATGGAAATTAATGCAAATGGTTTTATACAGCGCGTTAAACCACATTGAGATGGTCCCCTCTGGTCTGGTAGTACTTTCTTTGGAGTTTGGACTAAAATTTAGGACAATAAGCTCTTGTAAGTAACATTACGCGAGGAATCCTGTAAATATTTTCAAATGTAATCTTCATAACAGTCAAAAGTCTCACTAAAACAGCAATTTCAGTTAAAAAAAAAACGGTAAAGCACCCTTTAAAAACATGGTTGCCATAGAAAGAGTTAGAAACGAAAAGGCTTGGAATGTTCAGCGACACTTCTCTTCGCAGTTCATTCGACCGCACACGGGAGAATTTTGCTATTGAGAATATTGAGAAGCGGATAACAGTTGGGGTAGCAGGGCTTTTTTTCCAAATGTGTTCTTTACGATAATTTAATGGAAGCAACAACCTCCATTCCTTTGTCTTTGTAATCTATAAAAGATCCAACGAAGCACGTGATTGGCTAATAAAACCCGCACATGTTGTTCAGTTTCTCTGTGAGCCATCTCGGGATCGCAAAGACGTGAAGGTTCCTTAGTCAGTTACTCACACTTCATCACAGCACATGTCTGGCCTTTCCATGCGATAACCAGCCTTCAAACGTCTACACAGCTCTGAATTGGTCAGTGTGGGATATGGGACCCCTCCTGAATTACATCACAAAAATTAGAAAGTTTAAAGCCGTGATAATATTATTAAAAACATCAACTAGAAGGAAAAACAAGCTATTTATATTGACTTAATTTACCGTAGAGAAGAAGCGCTAATCTCAAAGCGTCCATGCTAAACTTCATTGTGTAACACTAAAAAGAATATATTTTGTTTTACACTGGTTTAGTCGTAAACCTGCTGTGTAATAATAAAGTCTAACTAGTCGTTGTCAATGAACTCCTGTTTCCTTGAGTGCCGATGAATGATTCGTCTACTTTTTTTGCCAAGAATATATGCGGCTTTAAATTAGATTCTTTACGTAAGACCAGTTTACCCAAAAGGTGACCACGTATGAACTGATACGGACAGACATTCAGACGGACTGAGAGAGACTTACGCAGCGGTTAAAAATAGGTAATTTGTGTTGAACGTACCCATGGTAGCCATTTCCCATAGAAGAACGCCATATGACCAGCTGCGTGAAAATGCCAAAAGAAAAACAAAATTACTAATCACAGTTGTGAGAAGTATTTAATAATAAGGTACATGTGAAAATAATTTTCTTGAAGGAACATATTCAACTTGATTATTTTGGAAAGAGCCCCATAGAATTTTTTTGTGAACTGTAGTGTTGAAGACCTGGATTTAAAGTATAAGAGACAGATCTTTGTTTCAAGAGCAATTAGATCTCTGGTTTGCAGAACAACCCGGGGACATACAAGCAAAATGATACCCCCACCACTGTACAACGGGGATGTTCTGGACCTTTGGCTATTCATTCTAATGAGATACAACAAAGTAGATTGCTCTACAAAACGAGATGTCTGTGTTGGTTGTGACGTGAAATGATGTCATTAAAACCACTATATTAGATTTCACTCTTTCTCAGGAACTCAGAAAATAATGTAGATTGGTGGAAAATTAATCCAAACCGTTAATGGATGCAAACATGTACTAGTTCTACGTTGCAACTTAAGAACACTGAAACACATAAAATTCTGAAAAAAAAGACGAAATTTGGTTTAAGTATCTAGTGAAAATCCGGTTGCTATGACAATGCCAAGTGACGTGGAGAAACATTTAACACGTCTAATTTTCCGCGACAGAGTAATAAACAGCTATTGCAGACAACCA